CACTTTTAAAGTGGAAATTGCATAAGAAAGAAAAAATTTTCTTTTTATCTTTAAAAATATTTGTGTTTATTACATTAATTTTTAATAAAATTAATTCTTAAAATTGTATAAAAATATCGTTAATTTATGGTCTATTTATATTTTATGATAATGGTAGTAATTTAACAAGAATATGTTAAGAAATTTTATAAAATTTACGAATTATTTTAGGATACTACCCCGAAAAGTATGCAATATTTTATAAAATATTAAAATTTGATTGAAATAGCTATAGCAAGTAACTAGTTACGTATTAACAATTTTTAAAATATTTTTAATCTGTTTTATGATTTATTAGATTAACCAGATAAAGTAGGTAATTAATACAACAATCTTTATAAATTTACCAATTAATATTTAAAAAAAAATCCTTTTTTCATTTTTAATTTAATTTTAGTTGGTTTTTCTATAATCGTTTCTTTTTTTAAATTTTGCTAATATTTTCTCCTTCATCTTCAACACATTAAATTAAATTAATTGATGCCAGAATACTTAAGTATCAAATCGAACTAAATTTAACTTATACTTAATATTTAAGAAGTATAAAAAATTATAACAAAAAAAAAAAAAGAAAAGACTGAGAACGAAAAATTGTAAAAAAAAAAAAACAAAAAGAAAAAACCAAAAAACCGCAAATTTTTTAGCCCATTAATTTACACACATCACATTAGAGTGCATTGACACATTAATCTCTTCTTTGCCTCATACACAACATATGCATTGCAATCACAAATGTATCGAATCAAATTTTTATTTTATTTGCTGCTTGGTACGAACCATTCATATGTACATATTTGTTGTAAAACACATATGTACATAAATGTACACTTATATATATATATATAAATATGTTATATACTACGTATGTTTGTACTTCATTTCCATTTAAACATATACACATGTTATATATATACGTTTGCTTATATTTACGTTGTTTAAAATTCTGCTATTTATTGTTACTAACTCTACTACTGTTAATATGGTTTAATATGCTTATTTCTATTGCTACTAATAGTTACATATGTACATATAATATATGTATGGACTATATATGTACATATATTCAAGAAAAAAATAAAATAGTTCATACCTTTCAAACGCATACCATTAAAGTTTCTTTATTTTTTTTAAATGATTTTACATAAATTATCTATATTGGTTTGTATGGTTATAATGTAAAATAGAAAGACAAAATGCAATTATTGTTTAATTTTCATTGCTCTTTTACTCCCAAATCGCCCACAATTTCATTCCTGCGATTTTTATTTATTTATTTCGTTTTATTTGTTTGTGATGTTTTCTATTTGTTTGTTGTTGTGTAACCTCGTAATCACTGTTGCTATTTTATTATTACCATAAGCATATACAAATATAATAATAATATGTATTTAAGGCAATGTACAAATATGTATGAAAAAAATGGATTTTTTTTTTGATTGATCATTTTAACTTATTTTTAGTTTCGAAGAAAAAATTTACGTATGTACTATAATGGCAATATATTCAAATTGAATTATAAATTTAGTAAATAATGACTGTAACGTTTTGTTATAAATTACCATCTGCATATAACATTTAATTGACTACATTAATTATTATTTAAAATCTAATCCCGCTTGCATTGCTACGAATAAAATTTTAAAATTTTATAATCAACATGTTTTTTCATTTAAATTATTCAATTACATAATTTAAATTAATTAAAAATTGCAAGTACAAAATATTTACAGAATTTCTCATTTATTTTGTTTTTTATTTAAAATATGTATATCAGTATTTTATTTCGAAATATTACCGCTGAAAGTCAATCAATTTCCTATTATTGTTTCTATCTTCGAAGACCGTTTTCCCTCTAACATTTCTTAAATACACCGTAAAAGTGAATTTGGATCAAGACCAGATCGCCATAAATACAAAATTTACAATATCCGGTCGGTTAAGATAAGAAATAAATATTGTCGTAGTCATAATGTAATAAAAATATATACATATATATAATGAAAATTGCGTGGATTCGACACGCTCATCTCATTCATAAGATATTATTCATTGAAAATTCATTCGCAATTTCAATTGCAATTTCCATTTAAATTTATAGAATCCTAGAACTTTCCGAAGAAAAAATGTCTTTTTATCAATAAAATTGTTTACAATAGAGCAACTTAAGTATTTTTTTAGTGTCTATAAAATTGGTTTATATTTTCGGGAAGTGTTAATAACTGTAATTGAAAATTGCAATTGGGAAGGTCCAATATTTTATTGTGATTCCAACGTGAGGTACAACTTAATTCATTTTTCAGCTAAAATATATGATTGATTTAACAATTTTTTTTTCGGAAAAAAAGTCAAATAAATAAAGCCTTCTGCACTAAATTACTAGGTTAACTCTGTCAGAAACAAAAGAGTTTAAAAAAAGAAACTTACAACTAAAAAAAATTCCATAAAAAAGGTTAAATTTCATCATGTTTTTTTTGTTTTTCGGATTTTTTTTTTGAAACTCTAAGTAAAACAACAAATAAAAAACCTTAAAAAATCAAAAGTTTTTAATACTGAAAAAAAACACCATTTCAGGTTATTGAACCCTCTGAGTTGTAAAGCTATTTCTTTTTTTTCTCATTTTTTTGTTTTTTCTACAAACTTACAATAAAAAATCCTTTACTGTTATAACATAATAAAAATATTGCATTTTACATATTATACATATGCGTGTATGTATAGTGTTTAACACGTATTAATACGTACATAAAAGTGTAAATATGTGTATGTGTATTTTATATTAAATATGTGTATACAAATTGAAAAAAATGTGAAACATACATAATTTTATAAACCAAAACAGAAATAGTAGTTATATCATAAAATAATTTTATTTTAATATTATGCTCAGATATCACTAAAAAATACAAATAAAATATTAATATACGTACAGAAATACTTATATTTTTGTATCTATACATAAAATATATTCATACACATACCTTACACCCATATAATTCGCCTTTACAAAAGAGTCTTTTAATAGTACCATGCATATACGTATATATAAAGTATGTGTGCATAAGTGTGAATACATTTATTTGTATGAATTTTGAAAAAAAATTTTACTAGGCCAATAACCGAATTCAATAACATTATAAAATAAAACAAAAAAGAATAACAAATAAAAATAAAAAAGAAAACAAAAATAAAATACACAATTCCAATTTACGTTTTCATATAACGAGACTCGAAGAGCTTTTATTTTATTATTTTCTGTGTTTTTTCTTCTTTTTTTCGAATATCATTTCATTTTCTTTTTCTATCCTACACGAAAACAGAATAATTTATAAACACACATTTAAACCTAATGAAAATTATTATTTTTTTTTCATGATTCAATTTGAATAGAGTAGAATAAAATGCACGTTGTTCGAATTCATATACACGAATTTTTTCCACTCAATTTTGTTTTTTTTTTCTTCAATACAAATATGGTTATTTTTCATGCAATATAAAAATTTAAGTATGAATAAATATAGCATAAATTGTATAAATTTTATGTTTCTATGGAATAAATATTCGAATTTCGAACGTTTCAAAAAAAAAAATAATAAAAATAACATAAAAATATAAGAAGAGAAGTGGATAAGCAACACTACAATATTTTACTCATACACACTACATTCACTTCAGTTTCATACTCATTCCATACTCTTTTGATTTTCGAATTTTTTTTTTTGTTTTTGTATTGCATATTTATGCTCTATAATAGTCGAATACGTTTTTTTTTTTTATTTTTATTTTTTTTTTTGCTTCGCTCAATATGAATTGAATGTGACTGACGATCTGATCTCTGGACAAAACAAGAAAAAGTGAAAAATTAAAATGTAGATGAAAATATTCCACCGTTTAACTTTAACCACCGTGTTCATGTGTTCATTCGTAAATTGTTTGTCAAATAGAGCGGCGGTATTTTAATATTGCTCTCGTTATTCTGGAAATAGAAATAATTTTATTTTTTTTTATGAATAAAAATTTTTAAAAATTCATATTATATATTGGAAAAAAATATTTAACAGAAAAGAAAATATATTTATTGAAAGCATATAAAAAAAATTTAATATTCTAAAATTAATTATGGAGTATAAAAGGTTTTATTAAATAAAATATAATAAAAGAGTAAAATTGAATTCAATATAGGAAAAAACTGTTCATAAATGTGTAGAAAAATTTTTTAAGTTAAATATTGCGCCAAAAAGAATAATATAAATATTTTATTGGAAAATAAGATTTATTTAAAATAAAATATATGAAAAATATTTGAAAAAAAAATATGATGGAGATATTTTGGCACCCTACTTAAAAAGAAATTTTTTTAGAAAAGAAGGAAGTGAGTGAAGGAATATAAATAAATATAGAATAATAAAATATTTTTTTGGGTTTTTTCAATGACCGGATTATATAAAATAAAAGAAACGGTATTATCTAAAGTTAACGGCAAGAAAATGTAAAAGAAAAAATAAAACCGTGTTGTTTTAAAATGTTCCTTCACAAAATTTAAAAATTTTGAGAAAAAAAAAATATTACACAAAAAAATTTAAGGAAATTAATAAAAATAGCCTAAAAGTAGTTTTAAAGAAAAATTACATAGAAAATTTTTTGGAATTACAAAATCGATGTCCATCGCTTTAATTTGAAAAAAAATGTTAAATTAGAGGAAAAATGTGAATTTTAGTGAAATTTTTAACATATAAAATAATTAAAGAAAATTTAGTAAAAATTTATATATTTATGGGTATTAAAAAGAAACTTCAATATTTAAATTTTATTACAAAAAATTATATGAAATCTATTTAAAAGAAATCTATATATATATATATTTATATTCATAGAGAAAAAAAAATTAAATTTCATAAAATTTAGCATAAAAATATTTTTGATCTAGTAAAATAAATATTTAAAAAAAAATGGGTTGTGCAATGCAAGAATTAAAAACTGAAAATCCATCAAAAATTTTACATCAATCAAATCCAAATAACAATATCAATAATAGTAATAATAATGTAGAAAATAATACAACAACATCAACAAGAATGAATCATTTAATAATTGTAAAAAATTCATCATCTTCTCCAAATATAACATCACAACAACAACATCATCAAAATCAATTAAAAACTTCATCATTATCATCAGTATCGGCGGGATCAACTGGATCTATTTTATTACAAAAAATTTCTCAACAAACAAATTTAAAGAATACATCGATAATGACAAATAATATTAATGTTAGTAATAATTCTCATAATCAACAGCAAACATCACAATCACAAATTAATAGACATCAACAGCAGCATCAGCATAATAATACTCATCACCGTCATAATTTAAATTCATTACAACAACAACAACAACAACAGCCACATCATTCTCAACATCATCGACATCAACATCACCAACAGCAACAGCACCAGCAATCACCACAGCGACAACCAAACATGCAACGAAATAGTCAACAACTAAAAGAACAACATTCAGCATTAGTCAAATTATTAGAATCAGCTCCGATTACAAAAAAGAAACAACCATCACCTGCAGTTGATAATATTAATAAAATGCAACAACATCAAAACAAACAAAATATATCATTGCCTAATAAAAATTTAAAAAATGAAAATTTAAATATTTTAAGAAAATCACATAGTTCAATTGATTTGAAATCAAATACAAATGATAACATTACTAGTAAGAATAATAATAGTACAACATTAACAAAATTTTTAACATCATCTACAACACCTACAACTGGAACGACAATTCTAATTAATTCTAGTCCAATTGTTATTTCCTCAGACAATGCCAATAATTTTAATGTAATGAATTCAACTAATTTAATGGCTACTAAAACTAATAATAATAACAATAATTGTTATAGTCGTTTAAGTCCTAATAATTTAATTAATAATGTAAGAGATAATATTAGAGACAAAATTATTATTACAAAAACCACAAACGAACAACAACATCAACAAGAGCATCAGCATCAACAGCAGCAAAATCAACATGAATATCAAAATTCAAATAACGATAATAATAATTTATGTTTTCGTAAAAGACTGAAATCAATGTCATCATTAACAAATAATTGTAATTATAATAACACTAATAACAATTCTAAAACACCTATTTTAATTGTTCAAGCTCAATTATCGAACAGTTCCAATAATTTATGTGAATCATCAAAAGAATTTTCTAATTCAACATCGTCATCATCATCATCATCTTCATCTAATTTTATTGTTCAAAATTCAAATAGTAATAAAAATATTAGAAATTTTAATGAGAACGATAGTATTATTAATAGTAACGATAGTAATAGAAATCATACTAAATTAGAAGATAATATCAAAAATAAAAGTACTGAAATGACAGAAACCAATAAGCAAAATAAAGATATCGAATGTCAAACTGAACAAAACGATAAACAAGAAACATCAAAATATTCTTGTCCTTGGAAAAAAATTCGATATGCTAGAGAATGGAAACGCCATAAAGATATGGAGCAAGAAGAAGAGGAAATTCGAAAGCAACAACAACATCAGGAACAAGAAAAACCACAACAGGAACAAGAATCAGATCAACAAAAGACATTTTCTGAAACCAAAATTGTAGCAAATAATGAAAATGAACAAACCAAATTAAATGACAGTAAAAATGAAATTATTCTTAAAGAGAAAAATATTTGTGATAAAGAAGAAGACCTTAATGAAACTGAAAAAATTGAAAAATGTTGTACAAAACAATTATATGATGATATAGAAATGCAACAGCAACATCAACCACAAGTAAATTCAGCAAACACAAATCACTATAATAATAATGAAAAACAAATGACAACAGTTAATAATGGTAATTGCATGAATTTCCAAAAAATATTGCAACAAGAACAACATCAACACCATCATCATCACCATCATCATCATGGTCATCAACAACAACATTGCCGTCGTGATAGTTCTGACAGTAATTCTAGTTTATTAAGTTTATCAAGTCAATGTTCTTGTTCATCGAACAGTTTAAACGGTAATAGTCCACCTTATCACACTCAATCTACTACATCATTATTAGCTATTGACAAATGCTATTGTAATATTCAATCAGCAAATAATATGAATTGTTGTAACGATTGCTCAGATTCAACTTATGATATTAATAATTGTTGTAATAATAATAGTGGCAGTGACGATGATATGAATTGCTGTTGTCACCATGGTATCGACTTACATAGTAGCAATGAATCAATGAACTATTTATGTAAAAAATTTGATGAAAATTTAAAATCAGATAATACTGCAGATAATAATTGTAATAATGGTAATAATAATATTAAAAATAACAGCAATAATTGTAAAGACAACACAAATAATGCAGCAACAATTGAAATTATTTTGGATGATAAATCTACTGCAACTAGTTGTAACAAGAATTCTAAATGTAACAATGTTAGTAAAAAAAAATTTTTATATTGCAATATGTATATATAAAAAAAAAAAAATAAAATTATTTTAATATTAAATTTAAAAGTATTTTGTTTTCAAATAATTTTTTTTTAAACATATTTTGTTTTTTTTTTAAATAATTAATAATTATTTTAACTAAAATTTTTATTATTTTTATTTAATTACAGGGTTTCTTCCGACGTTCCATTCAACAAAAAATTCAGTATCGTCCATGTACAAAAAATCAACAATGTAGTATTTTACGTATTAACCGTAATCGTTGTCAATATTGTCGCTTGAAAAAATGTATAGCTGTTGGAATGAGCAGAGACGGTAAGTCATTTATTTTGTACATTATTAAATATATTATATTAATTTTTATATTTTAATTTATGGTTATTATAAAATTAAAAATACATAGAGCAAAATTCAGAATTTTTAAAATTTTTTAAAGAACCTTGTCATTAGAATAATAGGTATGTAGTATGTATAATAAGATATTGTTATAATTTATACATAGGTAGGTATTTATCTAAAATATTTGAATTTATAAAACACGAACATTTTCGTTAATCAGATATATAGTTAAAATAAAATTTTATTCGATTTAAGTAAATTTCGTTATTAAATAATATGGCGATTAAAATTATTTTTCTCTATTGAATTATAGATTTTATAATTGCTTGTATGTATTTTAAAAATTTCATTCGAAATAGGGAAATTGAATACATGAACTTCTTTATGTTTCAAAATAAATTTTTAAATAATTATTGTAGTAAATAAATTAAAAAAAAATAATTTACAACATTAATTAAATGCATAAAATTAACATTAAGTTTAATTATTTAATAATACAATTGAAAAATAAAAACAAAAACCAAAAAAAAATATTTTTACTTTCGCTTTTTTAATCATTAAAATTACAAAGAAGCATAAAATATCATAAAACAAGAAATAAAACAATTCGTAACACATAACGTTCCAAAGAGAAACAAAAAGAAAAAAAACGAGAAAGATATAAAAAAATAAACACAAAAAAAATTAAAGAAGAAAAGAGAAAATTTCACTTTCACTCGTTCACGAGATGTCATCGACTCTGCTTTGGTTTTGTTTTTTTTTCTTCTTTTTTTTTATTAATTTCTTTATTCGTTTTACTTTAAAAACTTCACCAGAATCTTCCATTTTATTATTTTATACAAAAATAACTTGGATAGTTTTTTCTCTTTTCTTTTCATATTATTATTTTTTTTTTTTTGTATCATACCACAATTTCTCTTACTTTTCTTCAAAATTGTATATTATGTATGCAATAACATGGTATGATAAAATAATATATAATGTATGTTTGTATGAAATTTATAGCAATTATAAAATGTTTATAATAGCTAAAATTGCGCCAAATCAAAATTAAAGGTAAAGGTTCCTTAGATATATGATATTAATCCCATAATATGCAAGTTTATATCATGAATCAATATAACATTTTTGTAGGATTTTAGTTAAACAGGCAGTTTTTTTAGATTTTTACTCACATTTTAATATTTCATTGCATTATTTCATAATTTAATATGAGAAAATTAAACAATAATTTGATATAATATGATTCTTACAGGTAGGTAGTATTATATAACTTCTTATATTTTGATTTAATTTCTAAGATTTAAGGCCTATATTAAAAGGGTTAATATTGAAACATTAAAAATAATTGGTAATTAGATTAAAAGTAAATTAAATATTTATTTAGAATTCAAGTATTAGGGTTTTATTTTCGACAGAAGTTGTGTGCGGGTACCATTTAGTTATGAAAAGTTGTTTTATTACTTTATACTTTATATTAAAACTTCTTAAAATAATTATTCTATATTTTTGGTTTCTACCCATATTTTCCCATTATTCACATTAATATGAAAATTATGTATATTACTCCTTTTAGTAAGTATATATTTCAATATGTACATATGAACCTTAAAATATGTCTATCTACCTTAAAAAAATATTATACATGTACACAGTTGTGTGTATACTATTATAACATTTTTTAATAGTAAAGAGTTACTGTCTAATATTTATTTGCTTTTATTATTGTGTGTTTGCACAATATTCCTTCGTTCAATTGAAAAACAACAACAAGAAAAAAAAAACTTGAAAACTATAAAATCTCAATTATATAGGACAAGAGGTTATTGACCAGCATACAATAGCAATGTTGCTTGTTGCAGTATAGTTTAATACCTGTCCGTAAAATATTATTTTTTCTCTTCTCTTCTCTTTTTGTTATTATTGTTATTCTTATTTTTTTGTTTTTACAATAGTATATTGCATTAGTATTAGTTATAAAAAAAAAAATATTCATTACTACACTACATAAATTTTTTCATCTTCTTTTTTTGGTTAGTAAATTTTTTATTTTTCTCTCCTATTGTCTGTCTCTCTTCCTTTCTAATGAAAAAAAAAATTATTTATTTTTTTTTTTTTACATTTTAATCATAAAATATTTTGAAATTTCCAATTTCTTAATTTTTATAATAGTATTTTTAATGCTCTCTCTCTCTCTTTCTCTCTCCCTTCATACTTCTTTCGCCTCATAGTATACTAATTTACTATATTGCTGTTGCTGTTATGTTATGATTAATATGATGACAGTGATGACTACTTCATGTCAAAAAAAAAAAATTATTTTTTATGTTTTGTTATCTGAACAAAAAAAAAAAATAATCCGAATATAAAGCGTCCAGTAGACAGAGTGAATTTTTTACTCAACAAAAAAAATATTTAAAATAAAAAATAAACTGAAATTATTTTATTATAATAAATAAATAACTTAACTAATAATCTGCCTGTCTGTCTGTCATAAATTTAAGTAAAATGTTATTGAAATGAAATAAGTATAAAATTATTGTATAGTAGACCTTCTTACTCATAATATGAAAATAAATTTTCAAATTTAATATAGAGGCGAAATAAATAGAGACGTCCGCCGTCATTGAATCAATTATACTTTATATTAAATGGCTCGCCTATTTTAATGATTATATTTTTGTTTTTAATGACATTTTTGTAGTTTCTGCTCAGCATGTACATATTATGTATGTTTATAAACTGATTAATATGCTGGTTAGTTAGCCGCCTAACTTATTAAATGAACTATTTAAAAAAAAAAAAATTAAATAAATTCAGATTTTCTTTGTCATGTTTAAATTTAATTCTGTTTTTTTTTTTAATGATTATGTACTTATGCAATACAAGTATTATACATGTGTAGTTTTCATTATTTTATTTGGTTAATTTTTGTTTTTTTTTTTTCTGATTACGATGAATGTGAATTGAGGAAAAAAATCATTGAAAAAAAAATGTACTAAAATGAAAACAAGTGAGAATTTTAGTAGGTACTTTAAAATTTATGAATTTTGTTTACAAATTAATTTTAATTGAAGTTTTTTTTTTTGCGTGTAACATTAAATAATGAATGACGAGATATGAATTTTATAATATGCGTGTATGTACATACACACATGCATGTTAATGTATTTCAAGCAATAATATTGAATAAACATAAAAAAAATGCGAAACAATTTTTTTTGCTTTTGTAATAAGTTTAAAAAAATAAAATCAAAATTTGAGTTAAAAGTAATGGAGGAGAAGAGAAAACGAAAAAATACAATAACAAATAAAACGTGAACTATATTTGTTATAGGTGTTACACAATAATTTTATTTTATTATTTTTTTGGGGCAATGACATACAGTAACCCAAAAAAAAAAAATTAATAAAAAATAAAAATCTATTTTGTTGATTGTTTTTTTAACATTACTTGTAATTTATTGTAAAAAAAAAAAAAAAAAAGTTTTTTTTCCCGTACATACACATGTACGTTTTTCGTTTTGACTGTTTACATATGTATTTTAATTGAAAAATTTCGAAAACAAACCAAAAAAAAAAAAATTAAAAATAAAAGTTATGGGGGCCGGATATTTAAAGATTTTGATGTTTACATTAAAAATACTTATAAATTTATTTCGATTTTATTTGAGGTAATTCAATATATATACATGTATGTAGGTATATAAATGTCTAAAGAATTAATGGATTTAAGTTCTGTATTGGTTATACTCTGTATAGTTTAATTTACATTATTAATTCTTGCAATTTTTTCCTCTTGTAGAGCTATAAACGAATAGCTATTTTATTATTAGTTAATTGTACAAATCAAAATGCAATTTAATACCAGATTCTTATACAAATTCAAATGTAAGTGAATAAATATCCTTTTTTCCTTAAATTTGAGTCATATATGAAAATATTATAAACGATCTCTTTATACTAATTTCAAAAAATTCGGATTTTGAACAATTTCCTTATACAGAAATTGTGAATTTTTGATGAATTTCTATGAACTTTTTGAAATAAATTTCAATATAGACCTTTCTATATTATAAGATATTACTCTAGTCGATAAATTAAATGTATGTAATAGTAATTCATTATTAACGGAGAATCTTACATAAATTTGTAAATTACTGGAACCACTGAATTAATTTGAAATAAACTCAATTAATTTGGAATTGAAGAATTTATCAATTGATTTAAAAATTGTTATACAAAATATTAAGTTAAGAAGAATGTTGGATTATCAAAAAAATTTTCAAAAATATTTTTGTTTTTCAATTTTAAGTTTCCTTTTAATTACATATTTTCAATGCATAGTACTTCAATTTACAAAAATATAATATAATGTGTATTTTAACCAACAAAATTTTTTTTATTTTTATTTTTTTTTTCTAACCCACATTGAATAAACAATGACAATATTTTGTCATTGTAATTTATAAAGTGTTTTTTTTTTTGCTTCATTTGCTTTTTTTCAAATAATTATTTTTTTTTTTTTGGTTTTTTATTTTTTTAAACACCTTGTAATTTCCTTTTATATCCTAATATAGATACTCTGCGGTATTTGTATATACATACATATTATATAAGATACAATAAAATTGATATATGTGCATATATATATATATATATATATATATATATATATATATATATACATTGTATGTACGTAAATGAATTGTGACTGTTTAGTAAACTTAAATTGAGGTTAAATACGATTGAATAAAAATACAAAAGTAAAGCAAAACATAAAAAAGCAAAAAAAAAAAATTAAACTTAAATTTTACCTTGGAAATTGTCATTTACCTTTAGACCTATATAACGAAATTGTTTTTATAAAATTTTTCTGTTTTTTTTTTTTTTTTCATTTATTCGTGAAATTCTCTATTTAGCAAGGTTTTTCCTTGAAACCGTTATATATTTAAAAAAAAAATTATTGTAAATGTGTGCATAAATAAAATTATATGATAAAAATTTCTATTTTTTTTTTGTTATTGTTGTTATTTCACTGAACTGAATATTTTATTTCTTTTTATTATTGTTGTTGTTTTTTTTTTTGGGGGAGATTTCATGGTCTGTTTTTTAGAATATTATTTTTATTTTTATGCCCCTAATAAAATGAACTCGTCTTTTGAAATTATTAAAAAAAAATTTCTTTTTTGTTTTGTAGTAATTTTATGTGTTGAATATTGAAGTTGATGTTTTAATTTTGTACATTTGGTTATTTGCACGTACACCGAATTTTTTCGAGTAAAAATGATATTAATAATTTTTGTACCTAAGAATGTACATATGTTTAATATAATAATTATTAGTCATTTAATAAATATTTCATAGTACAGTTATAGAATTCCCATATATGTATGTATTTCACTGAACATAAAATATGTTATATGTATAATAGAATACATGATCCGATATCAAAACGCGAGTAATCAAAATTATTTTTTTTAAAGTAACTTTTTAGATTCTTAATCATATTGATTTTATATTACCGTAATCTAGCGTTTTCCAATTTTACCTTTATTCGTCAATTTAATGATATTTGAATTTAACTATATTTGACACTTAAATTTCAAATTTTATAAAATTTCTGAGTTTCAATCAAATCGTTCTGATTCTGATTGATAATTTCCGTAAAGCTCATAAAAATTCTATAATGTCAAACCAATACCTTATACTTTTGTTCTTTAAAATGTAAAAAAAAAATAATAGTTTCGCCTTAAAAGTTGTTTTTCTCTTCACTTTATAATTTTTGTACAATTTCAGTCCAAAAATTTTAAATCTTTAGTACAAGGAATGTGTTTAATTATAACAGGCATGTATTTACTTATAAACGAATCAAATAGAATGTAAGAACATGCATATGGACTTAATTTTAGAATATAAAATAAACTAAAGAAGAAAATTTCAAAATATACAATACAAAATTGTAAAAAGAAGAAAAAACAAAAATGTAACAAAATAAAATTAGACCTCCAATAACCAAAAAAAACTTATCAAACTGACACATTTTATGTATATATTTTTATTGTTAAATTATAACACTGGAAACAACAATATTATAAAATCAAAAAATAATACAAAAATTCAGTGTTGAAATCCCCCTTTTACAAAAAAAAAAGAAGAATAACAAAAATAAATAATGATAAAAATACGTTTACCTTCAATGCAATAACAACACGAATGATTTTTTTTTTTGTCATGTTACTCATATAAAAAAATCACCATAATAATATAAAAACTTATTTTAAAACACAAAAAATCTGAATAAACGTCAGTCTCTCTAAATGAACAAAATTTCAAAAAAAGAAACACAAAATTCAAACAAAAATTACATAGCCAACAACAAACAAAACACAACATACTGCATAAAATAATCATTGCCTCCATTTACTACTCCATTTTTCTTCACCTCACTTTATTTCTCTTCTATATATACACTCTTTCATTTTTCCTTCATTAAATATTATTCTCTTATTCATAATATAAATATACGTACGTAATACTATGCTCTACACTCGTTCCCGTTTGTTACTCATATTGTATTTTATACAAGTACTATTATAACAGCAGAAGGCAGGCAAGTAACAAAACAGCAAAGCAATATCAATTTTATATCAAAAGTTCATTGACCGTTCAAATTCAAAACTGGGTCACAGCCATTTTTATTATCGTTCACTTTTTTTTTTTATTCTTTTTGTTTTTGGTTATTGTTTTTTTTTGTTTTTGATTTTTTTTTTGTTTAATTTTTCGTATTTTCGTGCTTTGTTAAAGTATATACAAAATACTTACATATCTACATAATATATCATATTAATATTTTCATTCAATTCG